TAGCAAGCTAGCTAGCTGGGTAGGCTAATTGCTGCGACATAAGCTGCGCTTTACCCCATCCTACACAATTACAACAACAACTCCATTCAGAGTATTAAGTAGCAGCCTTCCTGTTGCTGTTGGCTCTTGGTCGTTGTAGCCTATCCTTCTCATTAAACTCTGTTATTTTAATTATATCTTCCATTGATCTCCTAATTTGCACACATAGAGCCAGAGGCTAGTGCCGCTTTGATGACTTGTAATTGGCTAACAACAACAAGCTACACGCGCCACTCTCGTGAAAAGCAAAGAGCAGCAGCATAAATGAGATACTTTTCTCTCTCTTTCTCTACTGCAGCAGTCACGTTCAGGTCTGTACAGGTCCTTACCGGCAAATCAGTTATACTTACACATCCCCGAGACAATCAGATCCGACCCGGATCCAAGAGTTAACTACAGAATTTCGGACCCAACCTGGTCGGGTCCCGGGTAATCAGGTTTGGGTGGACCCGTGAAGACCTCTAGGTCTGTACTCTACTGGAAGCTTCTGATTTGGGTTTAAGGTGGAAGATGAGCATGGTGGGTGGTTCAGTTATCCCACTGGGCACAAACTGATTGAATAAACATTGTTTCCACATCATTTCAACAACAAAGAATGTATGTGATGATGTTGAATCAGTGTGGAAAACTGATTGGATTTGCAGAAAGTCATCAACGTAAAGGGATTTCGGGAATATCTGTCATTTTTTCACCTAAATCCACTTTTACCCTAAAACCAATGAGATGGTTAAAATGTTTGTTGGATTTACAATCAAATCTAATTAAAACTAGCGTTGAACTGATGTCTGTGCCCAGTGGGATAACACCTGCACGATAGATACAGAGTGTGTGTTAGTGTGTGTATGTGTATGTATGTTCAGTTGCATGCAGGCATGCCCTCAGAATCCTGAATGACCCCTCACTTCTCAATGACAGCAGGAATTCAACGTAACTAACACATTTATTTTTTCCCAGTTGCCAAGGCAACGTGTGGATTGCATTCAGAACTGAGAGACAAAATAAATATGAACTAATTCACAGAGGAGGGTAAAGCAAAAGGTAAATTCAAACAAGAAGTGGCTATTTTTTGCCTCGTGTTATTTTTATCACGGTACACAAAGAAAAAGGACACTGGAGATAACCCTTAGCAGACTTTACCCGACATTGTTCTGTCTTTGCCTCTCTTAGGAAAGCCCACAAGTCAACAGTTAAGTTTGCCATGTGAGGGAGGGAGGTTAACTATGTGTGCTGTATTTTCCAAAGGTGTTTTCTGTCTTAGATACATTATCTGACAAGGTATAGAATAGCAGCAAATACCTACCTGGCTGATGCAAAACATTTACTTAATTTCTTCCTTGAAAAGAGAGTGAGTGTGTGGGAAGGAAGGTCTTTCCTATCTTTGCTGAAGGACAAGTACTGTCTGTCTATGTTTAAAATACTTAGAAATGCACTGATTCATTCAGTCAAGTAACTGCCCTCTAATCCAACTAAAATGCAAGATGATGACAATCATTGGTCTTGCAGTCAGCCTACACAAAGGCATATAATGACTTCAAATTGAATGGAGCCTCCAATGGTAAGGAAAGGACCAGAAAATGTAATTAAGACTGTAATGATTGTGTAATAGATGGATGCATAATAATAATAATAATAATAACTTTACTTAAAATCATACATTGAAATCATACATTAAAAACACTGGCCGTCCATGAGATTATGAGAAAACAAACAATGGAGTATGACTTTATTTGGGTTATGATGTGGTAGGACAGTTGTTATAAGGCCATGGGGCATTTATAAGTTATGCATTTCAAGAATCAAAGGGTATGTGGTTAATTGAAATTGCCATTAAATTGAACAACAGGAAATATTCAAGATAGTGGCTTAAAGGCCATGTTCTTCTAGTTTCAGGGCTAATGAAGAGGATGGTATATTGTAGTGGCATGAAATGGAGGGCAATCACAGTCTGAGCTCTGGGAAGATTCTCCACCACAGAGTCTGAAAGGGCAGTCTTATTACCGCATTACCAGACTCCTGCCACCGCCGACAGTCTAATACCCATGCCGAAATCAATGGCCAGAGGCACGGCAACAAGCAACGACTCACTGTTACTGTACCTAATCATCAGACATTTTAATTTTGCCGGAGGCTGTGAGACAATAGCCACTTCATGATGTGATAGGAGGGATAATGCAGTGCACATTCACACAACAGAGGCTATTACTGAATCCCTCTGCTATGTGGATGGATGATATGATAATTCGGTGGCCAGAAGTCTCAAGAGCCTGTAATATTTTCAATGTAAGCTTTGGAGGACAAGATGATAAATCTTCAGCTAAATGAGGTGGAACGAAATATAATTAAAATAGTGTTCCCCCAGACAACATGTTTAAAGGGCACAGCAGCCGGACTTCACTTAATACCATACTTTAATATGGCCAGAACCTGGACTTTATCTTCATTCATTTCCATTTCAATCAGGTGGGGGATAAACTTTGAGCAAGAGTGTTAAAGAATACACTCCAATACTTCATTATCACAAGTTACATAGGCTACTACAAGACATGTCTAAATTGGACAGGCCCAGAACTCTTGCGGGATGACTAAGAAGCCAGTCAGCATTTTCAGCAACGCTAACAAAGGAAGTGGAAATTATGTTGTGAGCTCAGACAACTCTTTGACCTAACCCTGAACCTGCATGGCATGGTAGCCCGGAGTTACACCACCAAACACAAACTCCAGTTCTCTGTGTGCCATGCTGTCTATTCACCTCCCAAATGGTACCATTCACCCGCTATCCTGAAAAACAAGTGAAGTGGACAGCAGAGGAAAAGTCACCACTCGAAAAGGAGGTTAAGAGTTGGCGTGGCTTTGCTCTGTGGATCCAGAACTGTCATTGGCGCTGTGTCATGATGATTCAGATGGGAGAAGACTGCAGAGCTATCAAGTGTGCTCACTACCATCCAACCCCCCATTGCATTACAAAACAACTCCCAGCTTTAATAGGCGCTATTCGGAACATTAAACAATGCTCTGGGGAAGCAACGGCTCTCTATGGCCTTAGATGTTAAAACTAGGAGTCTGTGTTACATGGAACGTCTGTGTATTACTCTCCTTATCTCAGAAATGCAGCACATTGTTAGCATTTCAAAGCTAAGGTCTGAGTGTATTACCATCAGGTATGGCTGCCATGCGTCCGCATGTACGTTTATTTCATCTACAAAAGCTGACATGCCAAGACCAAGGATCATCAAATTAGACCTAAACAGGCCCTTCTCTCTCTGCTGTAAACACTCAGGTTCCTATTAAAGTCATGAAATGTTCACACACACCTACATTATATATACAAAAGTATGTGGACACCCCTTCAAATTAATGGATTCGGCTACTTCAAGCACACCATTGCTGACAGGTATATAAAATCGAGCACACAGCTATACAATCTCCATTGACAAACCTTGGCAGTAGAATGGCCTTACTGAAGAGCTCAGTGACTTTCAACGTGGCACCGTCATAGGATGCCACCTTTCCAACAAGTCAGTTCGTCAAATTTCTGCCCTGCTAGAGCTGCCCCGGTCAACTGTAAGTCCTGTTATTGTGAAGTGGAAACGTCTAGGAGCACCAGCGGCTCAGCTGCGAAGTGGCAGGCCACACAAGCTCACAGAACGGGACCGCCGGGTGCTGAAGCGCGTAGCATGTAAAAATAATCTGTCCTTGGTTGCAAAACTCACTACCGAGTTCCAAACTGCCTCTGGAAGCAAAGTCAGCACAAAAACTGTTCGTCGGGAGCTTCATGAAATGGGTTTCCATGGCCGAGCAGCCGTACACAAGCCTAAGATCACCATGTGCAATGCCAAGTGTCGGCTGGGAGTGGTGTAAAGCTCGCCACCATTGGACTCTGGAGCAGTGGAAATGCGTTCTCTGGAGTGATGAATCACGCTTCACCATCTAGCAGTCTGACTGACGAATCTGGGTTTGGTGGATGCCAGGAGAACGCTACCTTCCCCAATTCATAGTGCCGACTGTAAAGTTTAGTGGAGGAGGAATAATGGTCTGGGGCTGTTTTTCATGGTTCGGACTAGGCCCCTTAGTTTCAGTGAAGGGAAATCTTAACGCTACACATACAATGATGATTCTGTGCTTCCAACTTTGTGGCAACAATTTGGGGAAGGCCTTGTTACAGTAAGGTCCATACAGAAATGGTTTGTCGAGATCGGTGTGGAAGAACTTGACTGCCCTCCACAGAGCCCTGACCTCAACCCCATCGAACACCTTTGGTATGAATTGGAATGCAGACTGCGAGCCAGGCCTAATCACCCAACATCAGTGCCCAACCTCACTAATGCTCTTGTGGCTGAATGGAAGCAAGTCCCCGCAGCAATGTTCCAACATCTAGTGGAAAGCCTTCCCAGAAGAGTGGAGGCTTTTACAGCAGCAAAGGGGGGACCAACTCCATATTAATGCCCATGATTTTGGAATGAGATGTTCGATGAGCAGGTGTCCACATACTTTTGGTCATTTAGTGTATGTCTCTTCTGAGATAGTTCCAAATGAAACCAATCGGACATTGTTACATATTACCTGTACACGTCCTGGAAAAACCTTGTATCTATTTTTTTTTTACAAAAATAATATATATATATAAACTAAATTAGTAAAAGTAGTCCTTCTCAGCCATGTTCTGTGACGTTTTCATGACTCTAGGACTAAAATAAGTCACTCAAAATGCGATGTGAACTTCCATTAATATATGGCAATAGATCTGAAAAAACAACAACGTATTACTCAATTCCTGAAAAGGTTACTTGGAAGGTTTTTTCAAGACACCAACTACCGTTCACTTGACATTTCAAAACATGACTGAACAGTCATTATTAAGCAGACACTCTTATCTGGAGTGAATGACAGTGAACACAGTCAATAAATGATGTGGCCGCTGCAGCGATTTAACATGCAACCTTGTTGTTGTTGTTGACTTACTGTGGTCTGGAGGCTTCTGCCTGGTCTGTCTGCAGTTTCTCTCCTCCCTCCACCTCCATGGTGCAGTACACAATCCTGTTAGGAGCCACCGACTTCAGGCCCTGCACTTCCACTATCACTATCTGCAAACAGCAACAGAGAGAGGACATGGTCAGCTCCACACTACTGCAGATAAAAAGGGCAGCATTAGACGTGGAGTCAATGGGTCGTGTAAATCCAGTCGAGGCACTATCACAGAATCCCAACCTGCAGCCACAGAGGGGACACTCACATGCATGTAGGAACACACACACACACACACACACTAAGGAACATCAAAGAGCAGATACGTTTTGTTTATTTTGTCTGGCCCCTTAGTAGACACAATAACCCTCAAGCTGACCCCAGAATAGATAAAACATGTCCCCTGTAGCTCAGTTGGTAGAGCATGGCGCTTGCAACGCCAGGGTTGTGGGTTCGTTTCCCACGGGGGGCCAGTATGAAAAATGTGTGCACTAACTGTAAGTCGCTCTGGATAAGAGCGTCTGCTAAATGACAAAAATGTAAATGTAATAAAACTACTAACAGACTAATGTAAATATACGTCAAATACACATTGATCTTTCTTTCACAAATCAACCAGAATAATCAACACATCAATTATCTTGACTGTGAGTAAGCGACCTGAGTGTACTGCTAAACATCTACTGGGCATGATTACAAGATGAAATCACCACGCACACCTCCAGTGTGAAGGAGAGGACCACGTCGGACTTGGAGAGGAATTCTGTCTCGTCGCCCATGTCCAGGAAGGAGTTGTTCATGGAGGAGCGTTTTAGCTTCTGTTTGAAGTCGGGGCCTCCCTTGGACACCGGTAGGCTCTCCAGGTTAGCCATGAGCAGGTTGACAGACGAGCGCAGCTCCTCGATGTACATGGCCTCCATGTCTTTGGACACAAACTTGGGGTACTTCCTCTCCTGAGAGGGAGTCAGTGTTAGAGGAAGAGTTGTGCATCCATTGTTGTAGCAGTTTGTAACTACAGTGATCACAAGATGTTCTTTTAAGTATTCTGAAACAGTTGTCAACAATCACCGGCCCAGTGAGCTACACGGTGTCCATCCAGCTTTAACAAAGCTGATTTAACTAATGAATGTGTAGTTGACTAGTTGATTCAGGTGTGAAAGTACTTGGCTGAAAAAAAAAAAATATCTGGACACCTGGTAGCCCTCCATGACCAGAGCTGATGACCACTGTTCTTGGCTTACATAGCATTGTTAGTTTGAGGGCTGTAGGTATAGGACTTACCCTGGCTATACTCTCTGCAAGCTGTAGTCTTCCATCCAGCTCCCGGCGGATCTGGGCTGCCTGCTCGTCCACATTGTCCAGCTAAAAACCACAGATCAGGAAGGAGAGTGTTAATCAACCAATCAAGAGTTGAGGACTAGGAAAGAGAGTGTAAATTAACCAATCAAGAGCTGAGGATCAATCAACAGGTTGATCAAGAATGTAAGACAATAAATGAAAAGATATGGGGTGTTTACCAAATAATGTTATTTATTTTGGCAAAAAAATGTATAGCTCTAAGCAGACATGATAGGATTTCCTTTTGTGGACTGACAAAAATGTGCATGCACTATGCAGTTTCCCAAGAGCACATTCATTGATATTCTAAGGCAAACAGGGAGTCTTTTTCTCTAGAGAGGGGGGAATGGCTGGCACAGACACACAGAAATATGTGCAACTGGAGCATTTGCTGGCCAGGATTTTCCATACCCACTCACAAACACACATACAGACATACAAAGCCATTACACACACACAAACATACAAACACACACACCACAATGCTGTTTACACTCGATAAGTCTAAACTCCGAACCCTAATGTGATTTTAAAGAGTGGCACAACTGATTCAAACTTAACAAGTGACGTTTTTAAGGTGCACTCCAGCGGTCATTTCATGTACTTATTCCAGGAAAAATCTGTGTGGGATCAGAAAGGTCGAGTTTGATCGAACCAGAGAAACACACATAGTCAATCTCCACCTGTTGGTGAGGCAATGTCATCTCATTTGATAAAATGTTATAAGTGATATTCCATGGAACATCCTTGGTATAAATGCTTTCCATCATGTTGCTGTGTGTACTGACTGAATCAGCTGGTTTGGTCAGGGCGTGAGGATCTATGTTAGTATTTCTATGTTTAGGATCTAGATGTGTATTTCTAGGTTGGGCCGGGTGTGATTCCCAATCAGAGGCAGCTGGCGCTCGTTGTCTCTGATTGGGGATCATACTTAAGTAGCCTGTTTGCCTACCTTAGTTGTGGGATCTTGTTCCGGATAGGCTTGTATGTGTATAGCCTGAGGACTTCACTTTACGTTGTTTCTTGTTTTGTTTGTATTGTTTATTTGGGTGAATAAACATGTACGCATATCACGCTGCACCTTAGTCTGACCCGTCTCTCAACGATCGTGACATATTCATGTAACTTTAGTTGTTCAAGTCACTTGAAAGGCATGAGCTCTGCTTTGTTTTTTTGCGTAGGTTGTACCCACTTCATCAGTCTCTCATTCACAATTTGACAAGCACTTGATAATGTCCCGAATTTCCCAGCGGCATCCCCTTTGTGTGGCCGTAATGCACCCTAAAAAAATCCATGCATTTTGCGGTCAGTGGCCGTTGTACCCTTGGGCTAAATATAACAATTATAAGTCCCTTCTCCCTGAGTGCTGCGTGCTCCGAAGCACCTCTCACTCACATGGCTCTCTATCATGTGATCTGATCTTTCTCACAGGCTACAAGTGAAGACAGACACATCGGGGACGCAACTACGCGCATCCTTATCCCATTCCAAGGTGCATATTGAAGATATTGGAAAGAAGAACTGTCCACATTTACTTTTCGTCAGCCAACAAGATCAGTCAGCCTAACGAACAGCAAAAGCACTAGCCTATGTCAATCTACTATCCCCCATAGCACAAAAGTTGACCTATTCTGTGCGAGAAATAAATATTCCAAACATAGTCTGGGACAGTTGTGGGATGCGATAGATCCAAAATTAATACAACCACTAGCATCAAAAAAACTTTTTTTACGCAACGAGGTTGACGCAACAGATCAGAATGTTTAGCTTAAAATGTTAATAAACTATTAGGCAATTTTTCACATTATAAGCCAGTTAGGCTCTACACCCCTTGTAAAGTGGATCAATGTGCTTAATTTTAAGAGGTTATTTGGCCACTTTAGTTGTGATGCAAACCTTATCAAAATATATAGGCCTATGGGCTAGGCTACATGAGGTGTGCGACTAAGATTTGAAAAAGTCGCAAAAAAAGGTACGTATTGTTTCTTGCCTTATGCTGGGCATCATTCACAAGTGATAATATATCATTCACAAGTGATAGGCTAATATTGTCACCCATCAGACTATTCTTGATTTAATCTTGTCTTTACATATACTAAATAATATATGTGTGGAATTTATTTTGATTTAGAATGGACCATTATCATGTACCTGTCTCGAAACAGGGGCAGGGGAAAAAATACATGTAATCTATGCACTTAAATAGCGAATGGAGGACGCGTTTCCCGTGATTCATTTTCATGCCAGCCAGGTAGGCTATACTCCTGTTGTAGATAAGCAATGTGCTTAATATTAGGAAAGTTGAGAAATAAATATAGTAGGCCTAGCCTATAGAAAGCTGATGGGATCCTCCTCTTTTTTTTAATAGAGGCCGTCACTCTGTTTTCTCGCGCAATTGCATTACCTATAAAAAATGTTGCGCAACATGAGCTCCTGGGCTCTCATGAAGTGTTTGATTAGATTTTCAATTACATTTGCCTTGATGTCAGAGTGATTAGAGGGACAATAGAGTGCTGAGTACCAGGCAGTTAGCAAGTTTGGTAGGCTACTAATGACCATCAGCAGCATCAGAGCTTGGAGAAGCCTAATTACCGTGACTAAGCGGTCACGTGGAATTTGACTGCCTTCATGACTCGTGACTGCTGGTGTGGCGGTAAAACGGTCACCGCAAGAGCCCTAGCCATGACTACATGGAACTCTCTGCCACGCCAGGTCACTCAAGCTAGCAATAAAACCAGTTGTAAAAAACAGATAAAACAACACCTTACTGCACAAAGGGAACTGTGAAGAGACAGCTATTTTATATATATATTGTATTGTAATTTGCACTGTACAGTGTATTAGACCTAGATATTGTGTATATGTAGTGATATGTTGGCTATGTGTGATGTTTTAAATTGATGTACAGTTGAAGTCGGAAGTTTACATACACCTTAGCCAAATACATTTAAACTCAGTTTTTCACAATTCCTGACATTTAATCGTAGTAAAAAGTCCCTGTCTTAGGTCAGTTAGGATCACCACTTTATTTTAAGAATGTGAAATGTCAGAATAATAATAGAGAAAATTATTTCTTTCAGCTTTTATTTCTTTCATCACATTCCCAGTGGGTCAGAAGTTTACATACACTCAATTCATATTTGGTAGCATTGACTTTAAATTGTTTAACTTGGATCAAACGTTTCGGGTAGCCTTCCACAAGCTTCCCAAAATAAATTGGGTGAATTTTGGCCCATTCCTCCTGAAAGAGTTGGTTTAACTGAATCCGTTTTGTAGACCTCCTTGCTCGCACACACTTTTTCAGTTCTGCACACACATTTTCTATAGGATTGAGGTCAGGGCTTTGTGATGGCCACTCCAATACCTTGACTTTGTTGTCCTTAAGCCATTTTACTACAACTTTGGAAGTATGCTTGGGGTCATTGTCCATTTTGAAGACCCATTTGAGATCAAGCTTTAACTTCCTGACTGATGTCTTGAGATGTTGCTTCAATATATCCACATAATTTTCCTTCCTCATGATGCCATATATTTTGTGAAGTACACCAGTCCCTCCTGCAGCAAAGCACCCCCACAGCATGATGCTGCCACCCCCCTGCTTCACGGTTGGCATGGTGTTCTTTGGCTTGCAAGCAACCCCCTTTTTCCTCCAAATATAACGATGGTCATTATGGCCGAACAGTTCTATTTTTGTTTCATCAGACCAGAGGAAATTTCTCCAAAAAGTACGATCTTTGTCCCCATGTGCAGTTGCAAACCGTAGTCTGGCTTTTTTATGGCAGTTTTGGAGCAGTGGCTTCTTCCCTGCTGAGCGGCCTTTCAGGTTATGTCGATAAGGACTCATTTTACTGTGGATATAGATACATTTGTACCTGTTTCCTCCAGCATCTTCACAAGGTCCTTTGCTGTTGTTCTGGGATTGATTTGCACTTTTCGCACCAAAGTACGTTCATCTCTAGGAGACAGAACGCGTCTCCTTCCTGAGAGGTATGATGGCTAAGTGGTCCCTTGGTGTTTATACTTGCGTACTATTGTTTGTACAGATGAACGTGGTACCTTCAGACATTTGGGAATTGCTCCCAAGGATGAACCAGACTTGTGGAGGTCTAAAATTGTTTTTCGGAGGTCTTGACTGATTTCTTTTGATTTTCCCATGATGTCAAGCAAAGAGGCACTGAGTTTGAAGGTAGGCCTTGAAATACATCCACAGGTACACCTCCAATTGACTCAAATGATGTCAATTAGCCTATCAGAAGCTTCTAAAGCCATGACATCTTTTTCTGGAATTTCCCAAGCTGTTTAAAGCCACCGTCAACTTAGTGTATGTAAACTTCTGACCCACTGGAATTGTGATACAGTGAATTATAAGTGAAATAATCTTTCTGTAAACAATTGTTGGAAAAATTACTTGTGTCATGCACAAAGTAGATGTCCTATCTGACTTGCCAAAACTATAGTTTGTTAACAAGAAATGTGTGGAGTGGTTGAAAAACAAGTTTTAATGACTCCAACCTAAGTGTATATAAACTTCCAACTTCAACTGTATGCTGCGAAGAGACGGAATCTAAAACAAAAATCCAGAAAATCACATTGTATGATTTTTAAGAAATTAATTTGCATTTTATTGCATGACATAAGTATTTGATCACCTACCAACCAGTAAGAATTCCGGCTATCACAGACCTGTTAGTTTTTCTTTAAGAAGCCCTCCTGTTCTCCACTCATTACCTGTATTAACTGCACCTGTTTGAACTCGTTACCTGTATAAAAGACACCTGTCCACACACTCAATCAAACAGACTCCAACCTCTCCACAATGGCCAAGACCAGAGAGCTGTGTAAGGACATCAGGGATACAATTGTAGACCTGCACAAGGCTGGGATGGGCTACAGGACAATAGGCAAGCAGCTTGGTGAGAAGGGAACAACTGTTGGCGCAATTATTAGAAAATGGAAGAAGTTCAAGATGACGGTCAATCACCCACGGTCTGGGGCTCCAAGCAAGATCTCAATGATCATGAGGA